TGTCTTACTGTGATTATAAGCACAATTCTGGAGTCAGACCAAACCCATCTCTTCCATGACCTTGGGCAAGCTTCTCATTGCTTTGATAGCAAGTGTACAAGTCGCACAGTGTACAGGAGAGGATTAAGCAAAATAGCTCGTCATGTAAAGTGCTCAGAACAGTGTCTGGAATATGCCAAGCATTCAACAAAGGTTGTTGAATTAGGATGTCAGAGGAATTAAAATAAATATAGCAAAATAGCGATGTAGATCAATGAATTTTGCACCTGTGAATATGTATGAATTCATAGCAATCTCATCAATTCGAAGCGAACACCACGGTGTTTTTATCACCGTCCCCCACTTTATATATGTTCTATGTACTCATTTGGTCTGTCTAACCTACAAAACATGAAAAATGTCGATACCAACTGTTAATTAAAGTTCAAGATTTATTTGTGGTGGTTTTCACTCTTACTGTTGCACAGTGGGTATTATGTTCAAATAAGACTTGAATTAATGTCCTGTGTCTGGATGGTTGAGTTATCAATATGATATACAGTTGGGTTAATTTTCTGCTGTTTGTATTGATTTTAGAATATGCTTTATTTCAATCTTCCTGACTTAGTTTTGTTTTTTACTCTGTTTTGCTTGAGTTTCAAACAATAAGCACAATGTTATTGGAATTAAAGTAATGAAAATAACAGAGTGCTTGTTTTCTCAAAGCTTGGAGATGAAGAAGAAAGAGACCATTACTATAAACTGTGTCTTGGGGATAGGGACCAGGAGCTCACAAAGTTCCTGCCCTCTTATCACTTGCATTCCAGTGTGGGAGACAGAAAATAAATAAGTGAATACTGAAATACTGTGTTCCATGGCGCTAAGTGCAATGAAAAGCAGCTAAGTAGATTGAGAAGTAGGGTTTGTACAGCCAGACTCCAACAACATTCACTCTGGAACATGGGTCAAGCCACACTTTTCTGTCCTTCATCTATGAAATGCAAATAAGAATAATGCCTACTTCATATTGATTTTTGCAAGAAGTAAGCAAGGTATTTTTAAAATACTCAGGATCCTATCTAGCACACAGGAAGTACCATGAAAGTTTTAAATTCATTAATAGGAGAAAATTAATGCAGAGAAGGGGCAGAAGACTTTAAGAAGAATGGAAGGTACAACACATATGGGGTGGTCACGGGGAGCTTCACAGAAAAGTAGTGAAGATGACTGACTCTTGCTTAATATTTATTGTTTTCTTGTTCTTCTTATTAAGTAAACAGAATTCATCAACTCCCATTTTAAACTAGAAACCTGGTTTCCAGTCCACAGAATGCAGTCTCAGCTCCACAGTGGGGTAGGCCAATGGGATATGAGTGTGCATGATTCATCCAATTGCCTGTTATTTTTAAAGACAGAGACACTGCCCCAATATTTCTTCTTTTTGCTAAACAACAGCCTAGACATGCTTCCTGTCAATATTGTCAAATCTGCTCTGGGGATGAGAAAAATGGGCTACTGTACCTATGTTAGTATCTGCCTCCCTCTGCTGGCTGTTCTTGTATTTGTTTACACACTGGCTATTCTTTGCTAGGTAGCATTCTGGTATTTTACTGACCTTGAATATTTGCTAAAGGGTTCCTTTACATACTCAGTTTTTATAAGGACATTTTAAGTAGATCCAGGTTTATGAAATTCTATTTTTGCCCCAAATTACAAGATGATTTAAAAAAAAAAAAAACAACTCAAATCATTGTTATCATCATCACCACCACATCAATAATTCATCTTTGTCTCATGCATTTCCTAACATTTTTCTCCTACATTTTCTCATTGGATCTCATATCCCCTCAATGAGATAAGTAAAATGTAATTCTCATTTTATGAAAGAGAAAACTGAGGCTCAAAAAGGTGATGTGACTTGCTCATTGTAGGGCACAGGTAGAATGCTTTACCATGAATCCTATCTTTTTTGTCACTTAGGAATATGCTCCATATGACTAAGAACCTTGAATAACATGAAAAACAAGCTAGAGATTACTGTAACACTTTATATCATAGGTAATGGTTTTCTAATCTTCCCTAATAATGATGATTTATTGCCTTATCACTCATACCAGTCCCTGCACTGAACACAGTAAGTACACTGGGCCATTTAGTACCCCAACATCTCTCGGAAGTATCTATCATTACCAACCCCATTTTACACATGTGTTCTCTGAGCAATAGATAGGAAATGACTTGCCTACAGTTTCTGAGAACTTCAGTAAATACCAGAGTTGCGATTTGAACCTAGTTCTAGAGTCCACACCATTTTCTCCCCTCTACTTCCACACAACTTTCTCTTTCTGCCTGGACATGTGAGCCAACATCCACCATGATCTCTACAGAGCATGACTCAGCACTTCTCTCTCTTTCTTCCCTTCAGCAGGGTGTTATATGATCTCCTTCCATAAGTAAATCTTCAACTTTTAGAACTTCAAATCCAGGTGAACATGACCTTTGGAAGCTTGCATTGACCCATAGGACTTTATTTTCAGTGCCTACACTGTGTTCTGGCATGGAAGTGTTATAGCTGTCAGGGTGGTAGGTATGTGGGTAGGTATTGTCTTCTCTTTACAGATGAGAACTCTGAAGCTCACATAACTTCTGGATGGGAAATTTCCTTTGACTAAGCATCAGAAGACACATACCTCCTTAAATGTTATGTCCTCCTCAAAGACTCTTAAAGCACACAAGTTCCTAAGCTGCTGAATATAAAAGATATGGACAAACACACTTTACCTGGTTCTGAAATTTCATATTCAAGTTCAAGCTTCTGATTCAAAAATATACAGGTGTTTAGACAATATAATGATCTCATGAATTTAATGTCTTAATTGAGTTGAATTAAGAGGAAAATGTCATGTTGACCTACATTTCAAACACTTTGTAATCATCTATGCAATTCTCCATCTAATCTGCCAACCCATTTTCTTTCCATACACAATTTATTCAGATAAAATATATTTCCATCACATGTTGTTAAAACTACACATTGACCTTTCTCTTCAATTCAAAGACAAGACTCTATCCAGGAAAATGATAAACTAATATTGGTTATTGAATGAACAATCAGTAAGTTGTTTTATAGTGAGACTGAAACAGCCAGCAAAGCCAAGTCCAGAGGAGGGAGCTGAGATGCAGAGGCAAGAATGAAACAGGATGTCACAGAAACAGGTGGCTGGGGTGAAGGATAAAGCAACAAAGAAAACAGGTCAAGTCTACCAGCATGGAACTGAGATTCTGGGTGACGGTGACTCAGGATGGGGAAGGGACAAAGAAGTCTTCTCTATGACCAGTCAGATTTGCCATCCTCAAGCCCTGGCTTCATCTCCAAGTCTCAGGCTACTACTGGAGTTGCATTATTTCTCAGCAAAGAGAAAGGAAAGGGAAAAATCGGGGCAGTGTTTCTGTCTTTAAAAATAATCAGGCAATTGTATGAATCATGAATACTCACATCCCATTGGCCAGACCCTACTATATACTCAGCTCTGTGGGCCTGAAACCAGGTTTCTAGTTTACAATGGGGAGTTGATGATTACTGTTTATTTAACAAGAAGAACAAGAAAATAATAAATACGAAGCAAGAGCCAGTCATCTCTACCACTCCTGTTTGTGGGGTCTTAAGCTTTGTGATGTGAAAGAGAGATATTGAGTGAGGAAAATCTTGACTCTTAAGCTTCTGCCAACCTCTCAGCACCTACCCTCAAGGACTTCCAAGAGAGAGACTCCACATCTTCACTTGCCAAGAGACGAGGTTGAGTTATTGCTCTGTAGCAATAACGTTCTATAATTCTTTCATGATTCTGTAATAAATTACTATAGAAATGTCTATTTTGTTAATTTAACAGGAAAGTATTTGGCATGTTAATGGTCATGAATGACACTTAAAAAAATCACATTTTTAAAACAATCCAGTCTGACAGCACAGACCCAATTACTCTTCCCATATTCTAGAAGCTGAAAGCAGGAAGGACACCCATGGCCACTTCCTCCTACTTCACCAGTCCAAGCAATCTGTGCCTGGAGAAGCTCTGAGTTCTATGGGTCAAAGTCATTAATGCTGAGCAACCAAGAGTGATCTGAGACTCAGTGGCTCCCAGGGGTCCTCTTTTCCTCCAGCAGTGAACTTAGATCTGATTATTCTGCCACTTCAGGGAAATTCTCTGGAAGGCAACTCTGTGGAAACTGAACTGAATGATTAAGTAGTATTCACAAAGGGAGATTTGTTCTTGTATTGAAGGCTTGGGTTTTAGCTACCCCATTCCTTCTCAGCCTCACCCTTCTCCAATGTTCTTTCAGTGTGCTGATTACACTGGGAGTGAAGTGGTACTTCCAACATACTGTGTCTTCTTATTTCATTCTACTAAGGAGATAGCACACCTTTACTGTCACCAGAGTAATGGGCCCTGGTCACCAAGCAGGGCTTGGATCGGCAACGCCAGGGACGTTGTTGAACTCATGGTGGGCTACAGAATGACAATTACAAATATTAAATCCTTAGATTTGGTGGCAAGAGGGAATGGGGGGAATTATCTGTTAATACCATTGTCCATGTTGATCTTGAGATGGAAGCCAGCTCTTAAAGATTTCAGGAGGATACCTGGTCCAGCCCCCTCAGGTGGACAAGTTCTAACCATCCAAGACCATTCAAGCCTTGTGTGAGAGTGTGTCGGACCCTGCTGATTGTCAAGAGGGCCAAACCTTACCTTCTCCATTACTCCCAGGGCCTCAGCTTCTAAACAAGTAGGCCAGTCAAGGAATTTCCTCAGGAATAAAAACAGGTTCCAACATTTTTTAATTAAAAAATTAACTTTAATAGAGCTCTTCCTAAGTATCAAGCACAATTCTGATATTTATACTCCTAACATCTTGCTCAAATGCTCAAAACAATCCAGAAGTCGCCACTGTCATCACCCCATTTCACAGGTAGAAAAACTAAGCTCTGAACACTGTTCTAAGAACTTTCCATGTTTCAGGTCCTGTGCTGCAGGTGGATCTGTGCAGCCATGAACCTGAGGCTGGTGAGCCTGAGACAGGTGCCATACTTCATGTCCCATCACCATGAATCATGTACTCTGGTTACTTCTATTCCCAGAAGCAGCAGTGGCCATGTCCCGCAATGGCAAAGTGACAGCCAAGTGTCCTCAGGACAAGAACAACTTCTGTGCCTGACCAGTCTGTGGGGTAAATTTGGGTGTTCTTGACTGAGAGGCTTCCAAACTTTTATTGTCCTCCTGAAGAACTTGGAAGCTTCTGATAGTCTCTGAAAAATGTATTTCCAGAGAGAGCCATAATCTGTCCAACATATAAACAACATAAAAGCATCATACAAAAATTAAAACAACATAAATATTTCATTCTAATTTTTTCTTGAATGTTAATTGACAAAATAAAAACTATCCCAATAATATGCTATTTTAAGACTTTGGGGGGAGAAGGCTTTCATCTCTGGTGTTGACATGATGACAGAAGATCCCCCAAATCCTCAGCTTTCCATCACCATGTCTCCTGAGTCACACACAGCCGTGTACACCACAAGGGCTCAAAGATCAGAAAGCACGGAGCTGATGGCTCATTTCCTGCAAGACGAATCCTCAGGACTTTTCACACACTGAAGAAACTTGATAGGCCTGTGACAAGAAAGCAGAAAAGGAGATCTAGAGGCAGAGAAACACATCTACCATTCAATTCATCAAGGAAAGACGCCCCTTTATTAGCAACAAAGGTAGGTGTTGATCACTTAGCATCCACACAAGTTCCTCTCCTGCAGTGACAACATGGAGAAAGCTCACATTTAGGAGTGAGTGACTTAAAGTGGGGCCTAGTTTAGTTCCCTTTCACTTGTTAAGCCATAAAAATAAATACTGAGAAGGGATGTCTAATGATGATACATGGACATGAAAACGAATGTTTGGCTCTGGCATGGCACTGACATGGGCTATGAATGTCAGCTGATGATCAAGAAACAGCACAAGCAGCAACCCATTTTCTTCAGAAGGTCACTAGCTGGGAACACCTAAGGACTAGGCTGGGGATGTGGAAGGGAAGGAAGAGAGATCACAGTCGGTCACCATTCCAGATCACCATCAAGGCCCAAAGAAGATGCCTATAGATGGCAAGATGGCTATTTTTACTTCAAGAACAAATCAATTACCTGTAGTCATCCTCACAGGTAAATGAAATATTCCTCTTGCTTAAAATAAATTTCAAATCATCTATGATGGGACTTGAGCATGTGTGGTAACTGGGAAAGAAAGAAGAAAGTGTTAAAATAACATGATCTTGCAAATATCTCCTGAGTCATTTTCTTCTAGGTAGCAGACCTTGCACAAAGCCCTGGGATAAAGAGGTGAAGCAGAGGTCAATTCTGAGAGTTCACAGGTCAGCAGGGGAGCCTAAGGTGCAAATTAGGTAGATACCTATTACAGAGATAAAATCGAGAGGTTGTTGATGGGCTGAATGTAGAATAAGGCCCCATTCATTTCCTGAGCCAGTCTTTCCTCAATACATTCTTGAGACTGTGGATTCTTTTGCTGATCAATTCCTAAAGTAAACGTGAGACTATATGGGCACAAAGTGGTAACATATACCTGTAAACTCCTCCAATGTCATGCATCACCCAAGCTTTTAGTACAGAAACTTTCCCTGGATGCAAATTATGGATTTCCACACGTCCAAAAGTGCTAAGATAGAAGAGACAAAGAACATTGTTGACCCCAAACTGAAAACATCAGGCACCCCCAGCTCCCGTGAAAATCCAATAGGTAGGGTGCCATTAGTTAAAACCCACCCTCTAGGACTGGTGCCACCTTTACTCTTTCAGCATGACCCCAGTGAATAAGATTATCAAAATAAGATTTCTTATCTGAACATTGATGTTGATTCTTTAAGTACTAGTACTACCCTGTTTCCCCGAAAATAAGACAGTGTCTTATATTAATTTTTGCTCCCAAAAATGCTCTAGGTCTTATTTTCAGGGGATGTCTTATTTTTCCATGAAGAAGAATATGGTACACATTTATTGTTAAATGAAAATAAAGGAAATTTATTACTTGTATACGGTACAGTAGTATGGTAGTTGTCAACACAAACCAGACAAACTGAATCCTACAGTATCAAGAATTTACTCATTTATTCAATGACAATCATGTCATCATCTTCTGGAACATCATCATAACAATCTAATTCCTGAATTTCCTGGTGAATTTCTTGTGACTCTATTTCTTTCAGAATCAGTGGACCAAATCTCTCATGTTTAGCCTGGGGGAGGGGGGGGCTTATTTTCAGGGGATGCCTTATATTTCACTCAGAAGGAAACCTGTAAGTAGGTCTTATTTTCGGAGGATGTCTTATTTTCAGGGAAACCTGGTAGCTTTCCCAGGACTGGGTCATAAACCAACACAATGACATCACCTGAGAGCTAGTTAAAATGGCAGAATCTCAGTCCACCACCCCCTGCTAGACCAGAATCTGCAGTTGGGCAAGCCCCAGGCAATCCACATGCTCAGGTAAGTTGTAGCACAGTTTTGAAAGACTCTAGCACCCTATTTGGTTGGGCTCAGTGGATAGAGTTGCCCTGTAGACTGAAGGATCCTGAATTTTATTCCAGTCTAGGGCTCATGCCCCAGTTGCATGCAAAAGACAGCTGATCAATGATTCTCTCTCATCATTGATGTCTCTATCTCTCTCTCCCTCTCCCTTCCTCTCTGAAATCAATAAAAATACATTTTTAAAAAAAAAAAAAAAAGAAAGAAAGACCTTGGTGTCCTGCTCTGACCCCACTCCTAAACCTCTCCCATTAGTCTCTGACACTTGTCACTACCATTGCAAATACTTAGGTTCCTTATACTAGATTATAAAATTCTGGAATGTTAGCATTTTCATCTAAAAGCCCATAAGGTTAAGGTCAAAAGCAGAAGACAAAGGACAAATACTTCTTCATAGAATTAAATATTAAAGCAGGAGAGAAGGGAACTTAATTTGGAGCCCCTAGAGTGGTCCCTCTTCTCAACCCAGCCTTATCCCAGGACAGATTGGAGAACGAAGACTGAAAAGGTAATCCAAGTGGCAAAAACTGTAAGCATAGAAGGCAGCAGAAGGTATTGAGGTGTCAATGGTGTGGATTGAATAAAAGAATAATGGCTGATACTCATTGTGTATCTTCTCTGTCAGCACAGAGCTCATCGTTTTTCAAACACTGTCTCCGTTCATCTTCATAGTGCCACCACCTCTGCAGGCGCACACTACAGGGGCTCAAAGATGGAAGTGCCCTGCATAAAGTCCCGTATGCAGTACAGGATGGCCTCTGGAGTCCTGCTGTTAACTGAAGCGCTGATGACCAGGAGACAGTGAAGGGCAAGAGGCCATCATTCTCTTGGGATGCTCCCAGTAGTTGTGGTTCTGAACTGGGACTCACTTGTTCATGGAGGAAACAGGGTTAAGGACAGATCTTCGTGGCCAGTGAGGATTCAGATAGGCAGAAGCACTAGGGGGAGAGGTCAGAGGGGGAGCAGCGTGAACAAAGGCAGGAAATGGGCAGCACGGAGTGTAATGGAGGAGAGAGCTAAGAACATTCCATCAGACTTCAAAAGGCCACAAGGGGGAGCTGGACACAGTGCAAGGAAAAGAAACTTGCACCTATGAAGAAAAACTTCTCCATACAATACAAAATGTTTACCTTTTTTGGCCCAAAACTTCAGGAGTAACCTTAAACATGAAAAGTATATTTTCCTATAGATAAACTATCTAATTGGAGGCTGTGCTAACCTTTGCAAGTAGAATGCAAAGCAATCAGTACCTGCTTTTCCTCCCATCACCATTCATCTCCCCTCCACCCTCACCCAACTCCCGTCACCCTCCTCCCCAGTACCTGTTTTTATCAAAGGTGTTACTGACGGACCCATTGAGCACCACCTGCACCTCACCACAGGCATTTTCGGCAAACTTAAAGAGAAAAAGGAAGCCCACAATTCCTCAGCATGTAAACGTAACCAGCAAGCCCCAGCAGTTGCACCCAAAAAAGCCCTCAGTGCTAGCAGATATTGGGAAGGTACCTGGCTCGGGACTTGTCATAACTATACAATTAACAAGTGTGAGTTCCCACCACCCCAGCTCCTTGGTGTCTGAATTTAATTTTGGAGAATTCTAGGTAATATAGTTGTACTTTCTCCCTCTTTTTCTTTCCCTTACTTCTTCTTTCCCATTTTTCTTTCCCATTTTTCTTTCCCATTTTTCTTTCCCATTTTTTCCTAGTCTACTTTCATGCAAAGGAGTGGCTTATAAGAAAAATAGCCACAAAGGTAGCTTAGGGTAAAGTCAGAAATAGGGAGAAAGTGGCAGGGAAGATGGTGAATATTTCCCAGGCAGATTCTGGATCTGGAGTCAGGCAATTTGGGATTAACTCAGACCTACCACTCACTGAGGACATTTAGTATGTTGCTTTCTTGCCCGCAGCACTATTTGCCCATCTGTAAAATGGTGTGATACTCATGGTACCTTCTTCAGAGGGTACTTATGAGGATGAAAGGTTGTAATCCATGTGAAGCCTAGAACTGTGCCTGGCACACAGGAAGTTCTGAAGGTGCCAATCATTAAGATTGGCCCAGGAATCTAGGATTGGCCAAAACCTGGGCCAGAGGATTAAACCACACAGGAGATTCCTGGCAGCCAAAGCCAAGCCAAAACAAAAACAAAACAAAAAATGGGTAAGAGCAGGGATTCTATCCCTGGAGCCCATGTGCCCCCCCATGCATATCCTAAAATGGTATGTGAAAATCTTCTAGAATGTAAGTCAGGGACATTTTCTTCAGGAAAGAATCCCAAACTTCTGTTCCTCAAAGGGTGTGTGATCCAAAGGAATCCAAACCAACCATTGGCTAGATGGTCTCTCCACTCTGTGGTCTCCCAATAGTCATCCAAATTCTCAAAGTCCACGCCTGGTACTCACCCTTTTGGATACCGTGTCCCAGAACACAGACACGGGGTTGTTTATGCAGTCTTTCCTCCAGTGCGGGCAGGACTGATAGTTCATTTCTAAAAGACACGGTTTGGAGACGATAATTAAAGTGAAAAGTCACAGGTGTAATTAAGCTCCGTTCTTCCCTGATGGTTCAGTCAAAGCAGAACCATTATCCAGTGGCACTGCTGCTAGGATGGAGGATGGAGAATGGAACACATCTCGACCCAATTTAATTAAGTGCCCCTGACTCCCATCCAAGTCCCTACCTTACCCTCCAAACCCCAGACAAGAACATGGGGACCAGCTTTGAGTCATCGCTCTGGGAAACTGAGAAAGCTCATCTGGCAGAGACAAACCCCCAACACTGTCCCAGAGTGCAAGAGGAATCGGACACAAAGCTGGGTCTCAGCCGTTCTCCCCAGCCACTCCTCTGCTTCCTGCCAACACTCTCTGGCCCACAGCCTTTCTCTTCTCCTCTCTTAGGCTCAGATGGCCTCAGAGTCTTTCTATACTCTCACCATCAAGACAGGATTAGGTTACCCTGACAGTATTGCTCAGTGGTTAAGTGTCAACCCATGAACCAAAAGGTCACTGGTTCAATTCCTGGTCAGGGCACAAGCCTGATTTGTGGACTCAATACTCAATAGGGAGGGTGCCAAAGGCAGCCAATCGATGATTCTCTCTCAACAATGTTTCTATCTCTCTCTCTAAAAATCAATAAAAACATTAAAAAAAAAAAAAAAAAAAAAAAAAAAAACAGACTCGCCGAAACTGGTTTGGCTCAGTGAATATAGCATCAGACTGTGGACTGAAAGGTCCCAGGTTCAATTCTGATCAAGGGCATGTACATTGGTTGCAGGCACATCCCCAATAGGGGGTGTGCAGGAGGCAGCTGGTCAATGTTTCTCTCTTATCAACATTTCTAGCTCTCTATCTTTCTCCCTTCCTCTCTGTGGAAAATCAGTAAAATACATTAAAAAAAAAAAAAAAAAAAAAAAAGACAGGCGCAAGCCTCCATGAGATACAATAGACAGTAAGATTTTAAAGTGTACAATGCGACAATTTGATATGCATATGTACATTGTGAAAAGATTTCCCACCTGGAGTCAATTAACACATCCATCAGCTCACACATTTAACTGTGGGAGTATATCTGTGAATAGAACAGGTAAGTTCTACTTCAGAAAATTTCAGTTATGCTTCTACATTATTATCCATGATCTTCACCATGCTGTACACTAGATCTCAAATCTTCTTCATCTCAGAAGTGGAAGATTTTACCCCTTTATCAGCCTGTCCATATTCCCCATCCCCTGCCCCTGGCAACCACTTTTCTATTCTGTTTTTATGAATTCAATTTTTTTTAATTCCACATATAAATGATACCATGCAATATTTTACTTTCTCTGACTGGCTTATTTCATGTAGCAGAATGCCCTCCAGGCTCATCCATGCTGTTGAAAATGACTTTATTCTAAGGTTGCTATATAAACTAGAGGCTTGGTGCACAAAATTCGTGCACTGTGGGGGTGTCCCTCAGTCCAGCCTGCACTCTCTCCAATCTGGGACCCCTCAAGGGATGCCTGACTGCCAGTTTAGGCCCTATCCCTGTGGGATTGGGCCTAAACCGGCAGTCCTTCTCACAATCTAGGACTACTAGCTCCCAAACATTTGCTTGCCTGCCAGCCTGATCACCTCCTAACCACTACTCTGCCAGCCTGATTGACACCTAACTGCTCCCCTGCTGGCCTGATCTCCCCCAACTGCCCTCCACTACTGGCCTGGTCACCCCTAACTGCCCTCCCCTGCCAGTCTGGTCACCCCCAAATGCCCTCCCCTGCCTGCCATCTTGTGGCAGCTATCTCTGACCACATGCGGGCAACCATCTTATACAAGGGCATGAGGATCAATTTGCATGTTACCTCTTTATTATATAGGATACACACATGCCACATTTTCTTTACCTGTTCATTTGACAGTACATGCACTGGAGCATTAAGTCCTGGGGATAGAGATGAATTAAACAGAAGCCCTATTGCCAGAGATGCCTGGCAATCAAATAAATTAGAGAAAAACCCACGGGGTTGGGGTGGTATACAGCACTATTAGGGAAAGTTGATTTTGAAGGATGAGTAAGATCCTCAGACAGATGAGAGAGGAAGGTGCTCCATGCAAAGAGAGTGTGTGCAAAGGCCCGGGGGTGTGAAACCGCCTCATGGATTAGGCTAGCACCACCAGAGCAGGAGGGATGGGGACGGGAACCTGGAAGATGAGACATCGGAAAGACAGAGGCAGGCCATGCTGAGGAATTTGGGCCTTCCCCCAGAGGCAAAAATAAATAAATAAATAAATAAATAATCGCTATTTAGGCTTTAAAATAGAGACAGAAACAATCCTTGGTAGCCACGGGGCTGACTGAAAGGGGTGAGGAGTGGGCAGTGAGGCTGTTAGAACAGTTCCAGTGAGAACCGTGCTAGTGCGCTGGGCTCCAGGAGTGTGATGGAGGTAGAAAAGAAAGAATGACCACATAAGTTGGTCTAAAGAACACTATTTCAGCCCAGTCTTGGGGACACAGTGGTTGAGCATCATCGATCTAAGAACCAGGAGGTCATAGTTCCATTCCCGGTTAGGGCACATTTCCAACTTGTAGGCTCGATTCCCAGTTACAGGTGTGCAGGAGGCAGGCAATTAATGATTTTATCTCATCATTGGTCTCTCTCTCTCTTCTCTCTCTCTCTCTCTCTCTCTCTCTCTCTCTCTCTCACCCCCCCCCCTTCCTCTCTGATATAAATTTTTTTTTAATTTTTAAAGACACTATTTTGCATCAGGCTGAGTTGTCCTTGGGGGCATAGATGGTGTCAGGGTGGGTACCTGGGCCCGTCCTCCACACTGACCTTTCAGAAACCCTGGCAGAGCCCAGGGCTCCTTCATCCTGCCATCCCCAGACGATCCCCATGGCCCCCATCCTCACCATAGGAGCCCGCATCTCCGCACCAGTTGAGGCCGTCGGCAATGTAGCCTATCAGTGTGTCCTCCAGCGTGAACATGTCCTGCCGCACCCTGGTGTACAGGTGCGCTAGCTGAGTTGATTTGCTCCAAAAGACACTCTAAGAAAGAAAAAAACAAAACACTACTTTTAAAATATGATTTTTATTGGTTTTTTTTTTTTTTGCTTTTGCTTTTGCTTTTGCTTTTGCTTTTCTTTTTTAAGAGAGAGAGAGAGGGAGAGAGATAGATAGAAACATCATTGGGAGAGAACCATCCATCAGTGCCTCCTGCATGCTCCAACTGGGAATAGAGCCCACAAACCGGGGATCAAACTGGGCACCTCTTGGTTCAGGGCATTGATATTCAACCACTGAGCCACACCAGCCAGGCATCACCAAACTACTCCTGAGATCAATTTAGTAAGCAAAACAAAAACCTCCTTTCCAGGTACGTGTGTGTGTGTGTGTGTGTGTGTGTGTGTGTGTGTGTGTGTGTTTTCTAGGACACAGTGTAAAATAAGCTCATATTTCTGGGATGCAGTAAAAAAAAAAAAAAAAGTCTTAAAGCCATTGATCAAAATCTTATACTGAACATAGACTCGGACCACATCTGGAGGAGACTAGGAAGTGACAAAATTCCTAAATTTGTCTGCAAAACAATTTTGTCTAGGCATTGTTCTGGGAGAGAAGCGTTCGTTGTTTCTCAAAGAGCTCACTATCCTCCTCTATCCTTTTCCAATTCTCTCTTATAAAGAAGGAGGAGGAGGAGGAGGAGGGGGGGGGAGGAGGAGGAGGAGGAGGAAGCAAACACAGGGCGTGTTTTTACAGGATCTCTTATAAGGTACAAACAATCAAATATCAGAATGCTCTTCGGCTCCATGAATCTATTCACTCAGACTCGGAGGCTGTGGAGGGTGTGGTTTGAAGCCTGTCATTGCTGATGCACTGTCTGACCTGGGACACCCAAAGCTTCACTTTCCCCACCTGTACTACGGTAAGAATAGTTGTAAGAAGCTCTTGGATGCTGAAGACAATTCAAATAAAGTGCTCAGTCCTGTGCACTCTCATTCAACAGTACCACCTGGGGGCTGTCCACCTAGCAGCTCTTCAGAGTGAGGTCTCCTGCTCAGGGACTCCAGCTCTACCCCAGAGACAAGGAGAGGCTGTCATCCAGCCGAAGGGCTTCACAAAGATGGCTGGGGCAGGGTGAATTTTCACCGCCCGTGCTGACTTCAGGAAAGATTCACTCAGAGTACTAAAACCCAGGCTCCAAAAACCGTGCCATTTCAACTGGTCACCCACCTCCAGGATTCACTTTCTCACTGGTGAAGGGGAGGGGGTGGTGGTGGCACCAGATCTGCTTGTCTCACGGGATGGCAAGTGCAAATTGGCATGGCTGTTGTTGTTTGGTTGTTGCTGTTTTGTTTTTGTTGTCATTATCACCAGAGGTCAGGGAGCGTTTTGTAATTGGCTAAAGTTGGGTTCTTTTTGTTTGGTTTGGATTGGGTTTCCTGTTAGGTTTTTATTTTATTTATTTATTTATTTATTTATTTATTTATTTATTGCCTGATTTTTAACCAAGTGTCCTTTCCTCTCTGGGTGATCTCATTTCTCTCTCCAATGTCCTAAATCCTAATCACATCCTGTTCTTCCGTGAGCCCCACAAACTCCATATATGCCATCCAACCCTACATTCTTATGTCCAGATTTTCCTCCTCCCTCATCCTGGTCAAACTTTGGTCCTGTGACCTCTTCCCTCTGGCTTTCAGCCTCAGTTCTAAAACCAAGAACTTGACCCAGTTACCGAGTGGCAGGGTATGGTTTGACTGGTCAGCTTCAGCAGCAGCTGGTAGTCTTGCTCTGAACTGTGACAAGGATCCTTGGAAAGAAATGCATTCGTGAATGCCTTCCCTATCTGTCCGCAGTCTGCATGTCTGTGAGACAAAACATGGAAAATAGAGTGAAGCATGAATACTTAGATTTCAAACATACTTTTAGAGCATAATTACCCTATCCCCCAAAATCTCATGTAGGAGACATCTACTGAATGCCATGTAGTTCCTATGTAGGGTCTCGTCTAATCTGTACAATATTTTTATGGGTGAGCATGACCGTTCTGCCCCACAAAGTCCCTGCCTTCATGAAGCTCACTCTCTGGTTAGAGAGGCAGGCAGCACACAAACAAGTAAGCTAAAAGAATAAATACAGATGATGATTAACATGCAGAACACCAGTGGGGATGGACGACAGCAGAATACAGAAGCAATGACCTCTCAAGGGAGAGGCTGGTCAGTAGCAGTCTCCCTAAGAGATCTTGTAAACTGAGACTAAACTATGAGTAAAAGTGCATTCCAGCCCAAGGGTCTGGCATGAGCAAAGGTCCAAAGCCAAACAGTGAGCACAGAGCTGCCTTACATTCTAAACGTTGCTCTTTCTTCCAAACAATGCTGCCTCTCACAGGAAATTTAAACTCAATGCCCTCGTCTCATAATGAGGTTATTCCTAACAAAAGTGAGGCCCTCAGACCCCAGAGGGGTTGTCATTTCTCAGCATGATAAGTTGAAGACCAGAATGGGGCACAGTTATTCCCAGGTGATGGATAAAATGAATGGGGCAAGAGTGATGGGGTAGAAAGGGTTAAAGTCTTATGCTATGACATCCATGCTAAGGTGGAAAAGCAGATATATTTGGTGGTTAAATCCAGGTGGTATGTTGTCAGTTACTTCAGGGTTCATGACACTATGCTGTTCTCTCTCTATAAACCTACATCCTTCCCACTAGCAGTTATAGTTCAAGTCCCTGTCAGTAAAGCAACATCACATACATAATGTGCTGTTCTCCAGGGAAAGTTCACACACCCTAAATCCTAAAAGCACTTAGATCCCGAGGGACAAATGCATACATTCGATGTATTTTCCTGCTGACAAGTTCTGCAGAGCAGGTTGTATTGGCCCAAAGAAAACAGGAAGGTTACCTCAGGTAGTTCTCAAATTTGAGGCTACTGGAGTCAGTATTGAAGGCAAAGACTGCCACCTTGTGGTAGAGATGAGCGATTCATGAGATTTGCCTAGGCACCTAGGATTTTTCTCAGCAGAATTAAAATCAGAAGACTCTCCAAGCCAAAGGAAAGCTTAGAACTTATTAATTCGTTAATCTGGACAATATTTATTGAGAATCTAGTATGTGCTAGGCACATTTATGGGCATGTAGGATACCAGTCCTTGGGGGAGCTTACATTCTATCAGAGCGAGACTCTAAACAATAAGCAAGTTATCGAGTACCCTAGACATGTTTGAGATCCATGGAAAAGACTAAGGGTAGAGTAGATTGTATCTGACACACTCCTACAGGATCTAGCAGAGAGCTAACAGCACAGAAGCACCCCACCCAACCGCTGGGACCCCTCTCAATTACGTAGGCTATTGGCTGTTACAGATCACGCTGTCCTGCAGCATTAAGTTCCAGGCCAGTCCGCCCCAGCACCCCTGAAGGACCTTGGAGAGCAGGACCTGTGTTTTCTTTCTCCCCAAAGCTCCCAGTCCTACTCCGAGCACCAAGCCCTCAGGAAGTCTTTACTAAGTGTTTACTGTTTGCTTTTTTGTACATTTTGCACTAATACATCTTACTGACTAAAAGCTAATAAAATGCTAACATCATTGAAATGAGAGGCACAGGGAAGTAAAAATGAAGAGTTGGCCACAAGACATCTTGCTAGACAAGGAAAGGGAAACTAAAATAAATTGTGAAATAAAGATAAAGGAGTCAGAAGAAAAAGTCCCTATGGGCACAAAAATGATCATTGCGGGGCAGGGGGGGGGGGACACACAGTAAAATGGATGAAGAGTTTCCTCTGATTAAGTGTCTCACTCTATGTTTGCTTCAACCAGCACGATGTGGACCTGCGTTTAATGGAGCAAGCGCCTATTGAGAGCAATGTGCCAGGCAGCAAAGGACGCAGAGGTGAACAGAACAATCGCTGCCCTCTAGGGCCCTAGCATCACTTGGGGCAGCGAGGAGGAAAGCTGTCATAGAAGGGCTGGCTCCCATCCCTGGACAGAAGGCAGCCATCAGGATGGATGCCTGCAATTCATGGGGAGGGCTAGTTTTCCGCAAGGTGAGAAGATTCATGGAAATGAAGCCACACCATGGAGGTGCCTCCCTGGAGGTCCATCTTACTCTGGGTGCTGGCTCCCCATTTCTTCCTGTAGGCTCTGCCCCACTCTCCCACATTCCCTGGAGCTTGACTACTGCCTGGACACTCCCCAGAGTGTCAGGGCTAACAATTTGCTCCCACTTTGGTGAGGCTTGTGTCAAGTGGGAGATGGCCCAGGGCCATCTTGGTTAGAAGGCAGTTCCTGTGTGTGAGCCTTCAGATAGGATGGCCAAGACTGATTGGTTGAGGAGTTTTCTGCATGTAATGCTGGCAGAAAATGGGTTTTGAGGGAGTAAGAGATATTGGGAAAGGAAAACCAAGGGAAAGGGACAGATAAAGAGGATCAAGTCCTAACGCTAAGAAGCTATTAACACAAAACAAAAATAATAATCCAAGTGCCCAATATAGAAATTGATGGATTTTGGAAGTAATGGTATTGAAATGTATATTGAGGAGACATATTCATTATGACTTTCTTTATGTCTATTATTCTTAACATACTAGTAGCTTGTTTACCATTCATTTAATTCAACTCAATATTTCTGCTTATTATATTCCAGGCACTATTTTAGGTCTTCTTGATATATCAGTCAACAAAAGTCCCTATACTTGCCGACACCGGTTTGGCTCAGTGGATAGAGTGTCAGCCTGAGGACTGAAGGGTCCCAGGTTCGAGTCTAGTCAAGGGCATGTATCTTTGTTGTGGGCACATCCCCAGTAGGAGGTGTGCAGGAGGTAGCTGATCAATGTTTCTCTCTTATTGATGTTTCTAACTCTCTATCCTCTCTCTTCCTCTCTGTAAAAAATCAATATATATATATATATATATATATATATATATATATATATATATATATATATATTTTAAGTCCCTAGACTCAGGAGCTTATATTCCAGGAGGAATATATAGATTTTTGTCATTTTAAAATATAGTTAATAGCTGAAACCGGTTTGGCTCAGTGGATAGAGCGTTGGCCTGCAGACTGGAAGGCCCCGGGTTCGATTCCGGTCAAGGGCATGTACATTGGTTGTGGGCACATCTCCAGTAGGGGGTGTGCAGGAGGCAGCTGGTCGATGTTCCTCTCTCATTGATGTGTCTAGCTCTCTATCCCTCTCCCTTCCTCTCTGTGAAAAATCAATAAAATATTTAAAAAATTAAAAAAATTAAATATAGTTAATAAAAGGTAATAAAGTGGAAAGAGCAATATATGTAACAGCAAAACAAAAAGACTAGAAGGAGATAAAATTAAGAAAACAAGCATAAACATCTATGAAGGGTTAAACCTGTCCACAAGAGCTGTGTTACTCCTCCATTGAGGGGTGGCGCTTGTTTCTATGTCTTTGGAATCTGGGCTCTGCCTGTGACTGTTTGTGCCAGTTATGGGTCTAAAGCTTTAAGAAGGCCTGCTGCTCCTACTTTTAGGAGTTTAGGAACTCTGAAGGAATCCAGCTACACCACGGAGAGATCATGGGAGAAGAGGGGTCCTGAGATGATTCAAAAAGAAACAGAGGTCTAGCTGTCCCAGCTGAGCCCAGGCGCCATGGCTCCATCCTGAGTGACAGTTTGAATTGTTTCAGCCAAGTCAGCCCCCCAGATGACCAGAGCCCCAGCTGACATCAGATGAAGCACGAAGAAGACCATCCAGTTGATCCCCATCAGCCCACAGAATCATGATAGATCATCAATGCTTATTGTTTTAAGTTGCTACACTTTAAGGCAGTGAACGATGCTGCAATAGAAAGCCAGAACAGGAAGTGGTACCTGGGAGTGAGATGCTACATGACAAAAACCTAAAACATGTGAATGATGGTTCATTTTATGTATCAACTTGGTTAAGCCATGGTACCCAGGTATTTGGTCAGACATCTGGATGTCTCTGTGAAGGTATTTTTCTTTTAATATATTTTACTGATATTTTACGGAGAGGAAGGGAGAGGGATAGAGAGTTATAAACATCGATGAGAGAGAAGCATTGATCAGCCGCCTCCTGCACACCCCTACTGGTACATGCCCTTGACCAGAATCGAACCTGGGACCTTCCAGGGCTTGGACCGATTCATCGATTCATCAACTCACTGAGCTGATTCGCCTTCCCTTTAAATTAAGGCTCAATTGCTCAAGTTGTTACCGTTTTGCTTTGTATGTTAAATGAGTTCCCTAGAGAACTGGGGTCCTGGGAGGCTGTTTTCTATTAAAGAATGAAGCTCATCTCAGAGTCTGGCCCTTCGGATGCCATCCCATCACCCCGAGCTCTGCAGCTCTGCCAGCCGCCTCAGCAGGTGCCACCTGGAGCCTCCGGGGCACGTTCAGGTCCCAGACCAGGACGGGAACCCCAGGTGGAGTAGAAAATGCCACCAAACCCACCCTTCCCCGCCCGCCCCGCGTGCAATTCTGCGGGGGCTTCTGTCCCTGCAGCGGGGCCGAGGGCGCTGAGGGTCAGGACGGCCGAGCCTCTGGGCCCCTTGCCCACGGGGCGGTCATCTCTGCCAAGTGTTCTCAGCTGAGCTGGCTCCCGCTCCTGCAAGGGGCGCACGAAATGGCCAGCCAGAGGGCTCTCCGCGCCCCAAACAGAAGATGCTTTGTTGGGGCCATCAGACAGCTCCCCCCGCGCACCTAGCCGGACTCCCTGCACTCCCAGCCGCCCCCCTGCGCCTCCAGCCGCGCCCCCCCTACACCCCTAGCCCCTACCCCCTGCCCCCCCAGCCACCTCCCCTCGCCCCCAGCCGCCCCCCCACTGCAACCCCAGCCGCCCCCCCTTCGGCGCTCCCAGCCGCCCCCCCACCCAGCGCCCCCCCTCCCTCCCCCACCCCGCGCCCCCAGCCGCGCGCATCCCCCGCGGCGCCCAGACGGCTCACCCCAGCTCCGGCCGCAGCAGCTGCGTGTAGGTGAAGCAGCGGCCCAGGACGATCTCGGAGAAGTGCGGGGTGCTGCCTGTCCCGTTCCACGCTCTGGGCGGGGTCGCGCGGGGCCACATCAGGACTCCCACCACCACCGCGACCGCCACCAGGACACACAGGAGGACGCACAGGAGGACGCACAGGCAGACCTTGACCTTCCTGGAGAGGTGGCAGCAGCCAGGTTCCTCCTCCGTGGGCACGGAGCTGAATCTGTGGTCGGACATGGGGGCCGCTGCAGGGTCAGCCGGGCGAGTGGGAGGAGAGAGGTGCCCCGCCGGGCTTGGCAAGGAGGGAGGAGAGAGTTGCCCCTTCAGAAGCTGCACCTTCCCCTTTACTTCTCACTGGCCTTTTCTGGGCTTCCTTTCCCACCCCTGCCCCTCCCTCATTCCCCGGCTGGCCAGCCCACTGAGGATTTGAAGGACTTTAAAAGACTTGAGCCAGGGCAGAGTCATCTAAGCTAGGAAATTCCCTGACGGGGTTAACGGAGGAACTGCTAGCTAAGCAATTGACAGTTACAGGTCACCTCCCTAGGCAGGATGGCATCTAGGCCTCAGTGGCATTTCAGCTCCAGCCTCAGAAAAGCAGCAACACCAGGTGAGTGGCGCCAGGGCCAGCTGGGATGGCCAGTGACCCCCTGCCCTGCCTGCGACCAGTCAGTAGAAACCAGGAGACTGAAGGAGCACACCTGGAAACCAGGACTGTTCTGCTGAAACCCTCCCCTGAGGCCTGCCTGAGGGGAGAGATAAAGCCCTCAAGTCAAAGGACCCTCCAGGAGCACCCCTGCACCATTCCCAGACATCCCCTGCCTCTCCTCCCTCCCCCACCTATAAACACCAAGGGACCCCACAAGGCTTGCAATCAGGGGAGCCATGGGCAGCGGAGGCTCCTCCAGGGTTAATTCCCTGCCACTGAGGTTCTGCCACTGGCATATTTCAATGGCTTCCCAGGGAGCTGGCAGCAGCCCTGCCTCCACTTCCACTTCTTTCATTTCTTTCCTGCAGGGGTTGGCTCTCCGGTAGCCTCTTCTATGCTAAGCTCTTCCTGGTTCTGCTATTCTCAATCATAAACGTACCCTCATCATAAACAATAAGAGGGAGGGGGAGGCAGCCACCTTCAACTTACTGGACAGATGCCTTCATCACACACCGGATCCTCTTGCCCCTCCAGGCCAGCTCCCTTTGCCAGCTGTAAACTTTGCACTTTAACCACACTGCTTCCTGGATGCCTGCCCGGGCACCTTTGTACAAGCGATGCGGTTACCGGCAACGCAGTGCTCTCCTTGTACTTAGTGTTGTGGGGTTGAATCCTGGGTTCAAAATAAGACCATCAGAGGCTGACGATTAATTTTTTAAAAAAGCAGGCAAGGATTTATTGAAATAAAAACTGGCCAGGACAGCCGCGAGAGCATCACACACAGGTGGTCTCCACACGACTGCACCGTTTCAGGGATAGGCAGTCCCTTTTAAAGGTTCAAACCACAGGAATTTTCCTTTGTCCCAAATTTTAAATCCTAAAGACTACATTCTAAAGACTGGGGTCAGCCTGCAGGGTCTATGCTAGTCACATCCTGCTGGACATTGGAATGTGTGGCCATAACACCGAAGCAGAGCTCAGCGGTTAGTCTCTAAAGGTTATCTACAGTTTCTATCCCTGAAGCTACTGAGTCAGTGGGAATCAATCTCCTGTGGTCCTGGTCCCAGGCAAGGGAAAATTGCCTTAGCCTCCAGGTCTCCTGGAAGCTGAGGTAAGTACCCTGAGTTTTAATCACGTACAGGAGCCAAACTAGAAGGGTTAAAATTCAAACAGCAGTTTTTGCCAAAGTATGGTTGCCACTACATTTCACTTAGCGTTGGCAAAGGCCTGCTCAGTCCTCTGTCAAAGGCTCCACCTAGGCCTGACGCCTGGTCCCAAGTGGCATCCTGGTAAAGGTCTGGGTTCAGACTTAGCTCCATCACCCCATGGCTGGGCGAGGTAGGGTAAGTTACTTGGCCTCTCTGTGCTGCACATGAACAGTGGGGCCAATACCAGTATGCGTTGCATGGTGTTGTTATGAGGAGTGAGTTCATACTGAAAGCATGGTCGGTGCAATGCCTGCTCCATGGTAAGCATGCCGTCGGTGTTCGCTCTTCCTACTTGCTTGGTGAGCATGTGCAAGGGGGTACCTTTCTATCCTCCATGGGCTGTGCTTAGAAAATGTCTGGCATGCAGCTGAGTGGTGGTTCAATGACTAACCAAGTGTCTTTTCCCAGACATCCTTACCCCTCCTCTCTCAGGGTCCTTGGACGGGGAGGTGTGGGTGGGAGCTCTGCCGCCCCTCAGAGGGAAGGTGGAAAGCCTGGAGTTAGGGGTTGGAAGGCCAGTGGATTTGCTGGCTGTGACCTCAGAATTCTCTTTCGGTTGTTCCTCAGTGAAATGAGAAGTCCCTGCTGAGAGTGGGTGGAGCGCTGGAGCAGCTGCAGGAGCTGGGGAAGCCGATGGAACAGGAAATGAGAGGTCCTCAGGGTGTCAAGAAAGGGGTCAGGAAGTTAAAGAAACACCAGATGGTGCAGGCACATTTTCGGCAAAGGTTGGCAGGCGGTTGGTTCTCATGGGGCGATATGGGGGTAGGGCTGTCATAACAAAGCTACAGAGTCTGTTGTGGCTTAAACAACAGAAACTTATTTTCCCACCAGCCTGGAGGCTAGAAATCGGAGTTCAGGATGTCAGCAAGGTTTATTTCCTCCGGGGCCTCTTCCCCTTGGCTTAGAGATGGCTGCCTTTTTTGCTGTATCTTCATATGGTCTTCCTCCTATGTGTCCACACTTCTGTGTTCCAGTTTCCTCTTCTAATAGTGATACCAGTTACATTGGTTAGGGCCCATCCGATGGATTTCACTTGAACTCAGTTACCTCTTTAAAGGTCCTGTCACATTCTGAGGCCCTGGGTGTTAGAACTCCAACATATGAATTTGGGATGGGGACACCATTCAACACACCACACCAGGTAAGAACAATGCAGCAAGAGAAAGGCAAGCAGGCCGGAAGTTTCAGCAAAGATGGAACTTTAATAATGGGACATAGCACCTAAGTCCCACAGAAACCGAAGTGAGGACAGAAGGACGGTGAGAGACAGTGAAGATGAGGCACTCCATGCAGGAAGGGCTTGATGGGGCCAAAGACTTGATAGAGGAGGGAATACATCCCCTTGCAAATCAATCCGTCCACAACTCAACTATTGATCTTCCTCCTTCAAACCAGTTCTTTCCTGGTCTTTCAAATTTCAGTAAAAGGGCCCCCTCCCCCAATTCAGCTCAGGCTGGAAACTTCCAAGTCTTTGAACTCTTTCTTCTTCCTCCTCCCACACATCTATCCAGAAGTTGGTTCCTTCTGCCTTATATTAATGATATTTGACATTTAATATTACTTATAATTAATGAATATTAAATATCTACTTTACTCACCTCCACTGCCACCATTAGTCCAAGAGTTAGCCTCTTTCTCACCTAGGCAAGGCTCATCTGGCCCTGAACTTTCTTTCATACTGAATAATGAGCAAGGTCCCAAACCAGATCCTGTGTAACAAAGCTTGCACCTGATCCTAATTGTACTGAGCCATCTGACAGCAATAGTGTTCTGGCTTGTAGAATGAAACATTTAAGACCTGCCACAAAAACTCCTTTAAAAAGGATATTTGGCCCAAACCAGTTTGGCTCAGTGAATAGAGCATCAGCCTGCAGACTGAAAGGTCCCAGATTTGATTCTGGTCAAGGGCATGTACCTGGGTTTCAGGCACATCCCCAGTAGGGGGTGTACAGGAGGCAGCTGATCGATGTTTCTCTCTCATCAAACATTGATGTTTCTAACTCTATCCCTCTCCCTCACTGTAAAAAAAGAAATCAAATCAATAAAATATGTTTAAATAAATAAAAAGGATATTTGTTCTTGATAATAAAAGAGTAAATGTCAAATAGAGCAAAATATATAGAGCATCATTCTTTCTCCTGCCCCTGACTCTCCTCTTATCATATTAATGAACAGGCAGCCTTCATACATGTGCATATGTACAAAGAGATAAACCTTCATAGTTTCACAAAAACCATGGCATATTGCACACCCCATTGTGCACCTGTCTTTATTCACATTTAAAAGACATGACCTGCCAGCATATATTGCTTTACCTAATTCCTCTAATGACTCTTGGTATTCCAATGTGTGTATACCATGGTTTATTGTACTAGACCAGTGGTTGGCAAACACATTAGTCAACTGAGCCAAATATCAACAATACAACGATTGAAAACTTTTGAGGGCCACATTTTTTAAACTTAAACTTCTTCAAAACAGACTTGCCCAGGCCGTGGTATTTTGTGGAAGAGCCACACTCAAGGGGCAAAAGAGCCGCATGTGGCTTGAGAGCCACAGTTTGCTGACCACGGAATTAGACTATATAAATTGGTACCTAGGTTTTCCACTCCTTTGTTTCTACATTAAATATTGGAATAAATATTCTTGTGTAGACATATTTTTCTACATTTCTAAGAACATACACTCCTCCAAGTAGACTTCCTGGGTGAAAGGGAACAACATTTAAGATTTTCAAGATAAGGACAACCCAAGAGGTTGCACCAACGACATTGAAACTCCAATGGTTACACGATGGTATTTGTTGGTATTTGTTCTGCCTTCATTTCTCGTTATTAACAGCACTTCAGCTTTTAGTATTTCCTTTCTTCAGTGTAATGGACACTTGAGAAAATAAAATCTCAAAGGACCCTGTAATCCTTTGCCTGCCCAAGTCACTTGGTCAGTGAACCCTTTCACTGTGTTCTGTCCTCCTGCAAGTAAGGCGCTCAGCTATCATGCCAAGCCCTGGGCAAAGAAGATTGCAGATGTGCAAAGAAATACCCCACCTCCCTACACTCCCTCTGGTTGAGGCATGATTTGGGGAAAGTTACATTTTTAAATATTTTCTCATCTATCTAATGGCTATAGTACAATGCTTCCTCAACAGGGGATTGATTGGGATACTATACATAATAGGAAAGGTTAGACACTGGACATATGGTAACTTTGTCAATGTGAACTTATTTGCACATAGTTACAATTCACTGAGGCTCTTAAATATGGCAAATTCTGGTGTACATTCACTCAACACAAATTAAAGACCCACCATGTGCCAGGCACCATGGTAGCTTGCTGAGAACACACAAGTAAACTGGCCTTGAAGGAGCCAGTGTAGAGCAGTTAAGGTCACAAGCTTTCTGGATCAAGTGGATCTGATTGGACTCTGTCACTCAGACAAGGAACAAATCTTCTCTGAAGGTCAAGTGTCTCTTCGGTAGAGTGGGCTTAAACATTTTTGCGGGCATCACTGAATTACTTTGAGAATTGAGTTAGGTAATATAGAGAGAATTTAGCTGAGTGTCTGACCACTGTTAAGAATCCCAACAACTATGCACCAGTATTGGGACAGCTGTAGTTGGGCAGGAGCAAAGGAATACATCAGAGTGGGTTTCAAGAAGTCTGGTAAAGACTGAGACATTAGGCCAGGCTGATGGGCAAGCAAGGATTGCAAAAAGTGGGAAAGGCAATTACATTGAACATAGGGAGAATTTCAGGGTGAATGTTGGGACATCTGGGGCACCAGAGAAGTGACTTCCTCCCAGTCACACAGCTGGTGAGTGGAAGCTCTGGTTCCAGAATGACCTTTCTTTGATCAACTTCATTAGTCATTTCAACACATTCAAGTAATATGACCACATTTTAAAAGCTGGAAATAGAGAAAAGAAGAAAAATGTCCCCTCTGTTCCAAAACCCAAAACCAACTGCCATTATTATTTTAATATCTATCCCTACAGTATTTTGCTAATCTTTGACAGTTTCAAAATCAGTTATAATATATACTATTTGGTAACATGTACACATTTCACATATATATTTGTATATGTAAATATACAAATTATGCTGTTTCCACTCCACTGTGCATACATGATCCCTGCCA